TTCTACAAAATATACTATTTTATAAATAATGAATGAAGTAACTTAATCATTCATATTTCTATAAGTAATTACTTACTTTAACAGTTGCAGATCTTTTTACGTTTGATAGACATATATTAATAAAGTCTGGAATAATTTTCAAAATATTTTAATAATTTACACGTTTACTAAAATCTTTTGTTATTGTGTCTTTTTAACCTAAAAATAGAAAACACTGGACAAAGTAGAATGGACTTTACTATGCGCGAAAAATTGCAAATTTATGTAAAGCCTCACAAACATATATATTATACAATGTCCATATTTTTAAATATTATATATAAAGGATTTTGTATGTGTGTGCAATATTGCTTCCTGTTATTCACCATTGTTTTATCATAATGATAATTAATATTGCAACAGTTGTAATATTTTTTGACAAATAATTCATAATGAAATAATTATACATCTGATATTAATAGATAACAAAAACGTAAACTGATGAATACATTTGTCGATAACTTTTTATTTAAAATAATCAAATTGATTGTGCATTTATTGGATAATAAAATTAATATCAATAAAATCTTCTCGCCAAAGTATTAAACAAACATTTCTTACATTTAAACAGTTTTCAAATTTGTTTGCAATTAGTTTCTGGTGATAGAAATTTTCGACAACATTATTGCAACCATTTATAATTCGCTTTCATATAATTATAAATAATAATAATAGCACAAGATTACAATTATATTTCATTATTAATAATTACATTAACAAAATGAGTGTTTTGACATGATGATTACATCAAATATAGAACTTAATATCAATATCAACAATTATGTCATTTTCGAATAACTCAATCAACGAAAATAACTGTCGCAATTATCTGAATAATATGTTTTTTGATCTTCACATTCTTCTTCAAACAGTATTATTAACTGTCAAAACAATTTACATGTATCTAAAGTTTATTCTACAATAATATCCATATAAACTGTGTTCATATTTTTCGTTGTCATGTTAGAATCGTGATTCGTATATTTTCATTTATTAATAACTTTTTAATAAATAATAAATGATGGTTAAAATTTTTTACAAGTTATTCAAATTTATGATAGATACAACATAAGATCAAGATAATTTATGAATGTTATATACTAAAGTAAATAATTATTTTGTATATTTTTTCGCATAATAATAAAATAAATTAATGTAATATCTGCTCAGAGACTTTTTATAGATTCAATTTATTATCAAATGTTCGTTTACTTAAATGTGCGCAGAATGCAGCATGCATATCAAATAATAAATAAATGTGATGTACACGATTGATTGTCAATAATGTATTTCGGTATTGTTATATTGACAACAACTTTTATGTTAAAGTTATTTATATGCTTTCATTTTATATCAAGCTTGTATTATATTTTATTAGACACGCTTGTAATTGTATATGTAAAATAAATTTAATATTGTGATCTGGAAACATAATAATTAGAAAAATGAAATAAATGTTTATATGTTAAAATTCGAAATTTTGTCTTAATTTTCTTCTAGTTTTATAGATTCTGTGATTGAAGGATTTTATGATAAATTACATTTGTATAACAATTATTTTGTATTAAGTTTTTATTTTGAACCTTAAATAAGCAGAAATGAACAGTTTTCATCATTATTAAAACAAAAGCTTCGAATAAAATTTTAGTTTAATTGGTTTGAAAATAGGTTGATTCAATCTAACATCTAATTTGATCAGCTATTTTAATAGCTGATCAAATTAGATGTTAGATTGAACATTAAAATCGAAAATAAAATAATTTCGATTAAGAAAGGACAATTGCTCTATTATCATTATTTATCAACAATTTTAGATAATAGATTTTTGTGACATTTTAGATAAATTTAAAATAAACTATTTTATTTATTATCTGTATTAAATTTGTAAATAAGAATATTTGTTAAAAATTTACAGTATAAACCAACAAGAGCTATATTAAAAAAATCTTGTGTGTGTATATGTGTGCTTTGTTCCACATCAAGTGCGGCACAAAAGCATCTTCATTTCGGACTTTCAACGCTTCCAACAGTACCTCAGCAGTTTATATACCACTGTGAAAGCATTTGAAATACAGAGAGCAGTTAGTGTCGTAAGAACGCAGACGCTATTTTGCGCAACAGTCCAGAAAGCGAGTATCCACGGCTGGATGCACTTTTATATGTGGCTCTGATGCCCGATTTTCTTTTGCTTTAACAATATTTTTCAGTGTCACAAAGCGTGTCACGCGAAGCGCGTATACTATTGTATTATTCAGGCCGTGATACACGTCTTCACACAGTACTCAAAATCACGCGTGAGAATATTATTTGAGTTTTACGAAGGAGTACAAAATTTAAACAAATAATATTTTTAATATCATATATGTATAATAACATCACACATTATACATAGAGTCGCAAATGCAAAAGTATGCAAAAGTCTTTAGAATCAAGCTACGAAGCAGCAAAAGATTTAATTAAATTTTGTATTATTCATGTTCGAAATATTATTTTTCTTCGTCAATTGTGTAAAATTAATAAAAGAATAGAAAATATATGTATGCAATAATCTTAAATTTTTAAGTTTAACATCGCATTTATTTTTATTGGATTATATTTTTACTAAATAATTTAAAAAATATAATTAAATTATAATTTAAGGCATAGTATTAATTATAATCGGACACACAATGTTCTTTAACTTTGAGTAACTCCAAAATTGTTTTATTTAAGTAAAGTGTTGACGTCAAGCCATATGTCTATGATATGCTGAAAGATTATTTTAGAAAACTTCGCGAACTAAGTTTCAAAAATATTATTTTTTTTCGTGAATAATTTAAATGTTCTTCGCTTGATTTATTTAACTTTATAGATATGCATATATTGTAAAGATAAAATAAAAGTGCAGCAATACAAACATTTATTACTTTGGCTTTCCATTATCCCGGTGCTAATTAAGTCGATGATCGATTATCCTATTATTAGATCCCAGTTGAGCTTCGTAAAAATAAAAAGATAGAAGTTCAGTTGTCAATTCACAAAAATTCATTTTTCATGTCGCAAATTTTTTAAATTTTGATTTCTCTTTCGATAATAAGTTTTAATATAATTTTGTTAATATAATATTTTTTGATAAAAAATGAATTATTTCATGTAACTATTTTTATTTTTGATGTACCAATAGAGCATGTAAAATAATAAATATAAAAAATAAGCTAGCTAATATAAAATATAATTAGCTAATAATATAAATCAGCTGAAAGAAAAACAATGAACAATATATGTAATATTACTTACATTAATGCAGCTTAATTTCTTTTATTTTTCATTCAACCTTTTATCATATTACAAACTGTCTGGTTTCTTAAGATTAACTTCAAATTCCAGATTCTATATTTTTAGAATGGATTGTGGATAATCCATTAAAATTTCTATTTCATATGACTACGTCTTTCCCTACATTTCTTCTGTATTTCGAGACGACCTTGTCTGGCAAAGAATAATATTATATTCACGTTTTCAGAGTAACAATCCTTTCAAATACGATAATGACAATCTTTGAGTGCTGGATAATCATAAATGAGTGTCTATAGTAGATAGCCGATCAATAATCTAACAATTTAATACTGTTATAATATATTAATACTGTTATAATATATTTGTTGCTTAATATACATTTGATATTTTTTGATATTTCGTATCATCTTTATCCGCTTTTTATGACATTTTTGTCTCATTAAACCCTTTCATCTAAACTAAATTTTTTAGTTAACTAAAATACAAAAACCAAATTACATAGAAATATATTTTTAAGTTTCTCAATTATTGCTTAAGATTAAATATAATATATGAATAATAAATAATTTTGATTTTTTATAAAAAAATAAAATATAATTTTTATACATTCTTTCTTCTTTTTTGTAAATATTTATTTTTATAAATAACATTTAATAAATAGAAATCATATAAATCTCTATAAATTAAATAAAAAATATTTTAAAAAATTCCACATATAATGTTCTATAGGATAAGGATTCTACGTTATACTTAAATATGGATTATAGTTTCTAATTTTGGCAATAGTTTCAATTTTTTTGGTAAATCCTTTTTAATATAATATTTTTTTGTGAGTCATTGAAACTTTTAAAAACAATTTTGCAATATTATTGATCATTATTTACAAAAATGATAGCAGAAGATGTGTGAGATTTTTTTATAATACATCTTTTAAGGCATTAAATATTTGCTTAAAGTTTCTTTCCAAACACTATCCCGCAATGCTCCATTCCATTAGAGAATATTTGAAGTTTAAAATATTCATTGTAAGAGAATTTTTCCAAGAACATTCTTTTACACAACACAAAAACACTTAAATTAACATTTAAATAATTTATATAATTACATTGTTAAATGTTAATTACATTTTTAAAATGCTTCATGAGCATGTTCGTTTTTTTATATAAAACATAAATCTAAATCTTACCACCTTGTTATATATATAAAAACCACATAATCACATAATATGTCAGATGCATCACAATCTCGCTGATCTCAGCCTGCACAGTTCGATCCGTGCGTCACGACCTACCCCAAAGTCGGCTTGTGGTTGGAATCGCTCGAAAGTCTCATCGAGGGGGAGACAGAGAAAGAGAAAGAGAGAGAGAGAGAGAGAGAAAGAAAGGAGAGAGAGAATGAGAGAGATTCCGCGCACTCTCGAGTAGAACTGGATCGCACGGAAAATCTTAATTTGGCATCTACACAGATATACACCGGCATGTTTGGTCCCCGCGGATTCCGCGCTAGTCACCCTGTCCCTTTTCATCTCCTCGTGGAATCCGGTGCGCTGATCTCCCCGTCCCTTTTCATCTCCTCGTGGAAGCTACCCCCGTTTACTTGTCCCTCGCACCTCGCGTTTCTCCCACCTGCCGCCAACCGCCCGAATCCCCTTCAGGGACGGACAGTCTTCTCTCCGGCAGTCGGTTGTCGGCTTCTCTCAACTAGGGACATGCGCAGCGAGCCGCGGAACGACAGGTGCGCGTTGCGTCGACGACGGTCGCGAATCGCTTAGTTTCGGGTAAGCGCACGATTCGCCTCCACCTCGCCTCGGGAACGCCAGTCGTTTGCGACTCTGTCTCTGGCTCGGTTGTTCGCTCCCTCGCCAACCTCGTTGTCGTTGTGAACCGCCGTCGTCACCGAATTTTCACCCTTCCACGAGGTCGTCAGCGATCGCGGAAAAGAGATCGTCGATGATCGCATAAATCGCCACAATCATCCGTTGCTCCAAAACGATCATTTCGCTGGATCTTTTTGGCTGTCGACGCCCCGCAGAACCCCTTATCGAACGCGCACGTGTTTTCTTCCCCTGTTCTTTCCTCGGTTTTTCTCTTCCTGTCAGTTTTCCTTTTTGCGAAGAATCTCCTTCACCGATAGATAGAGTTTCTCTATCGAAAGTGACGAGGGTGTTTCTTGCTTCTTCTCCTCGACCGATTTTCCGTCCTCTCATTCCGATCGTCGATTTCGAGAGGTGCGCGAGTTTCCCTTTAAATTATTATTGAACCCAAAGCCGAAGTGCTAGGGCACAGGACAAGCGATCATATCTCCTCGATATCGAGCTCATAAAACTAGTGAAATACTGCTGATCCGATCGTGATTTTGTGTGGATATTACTGGTGGCTATTTTGGTGAACGCTGCGGTGTACGGTGCTCTCTTGATGATTGTGGTACGCTAGGAAAGTTTAGATACCGTCAGCGGATCCCAGGTGGACCCCTCTCTCTCTCTCTCTCTTTCCCTCTCTTTCTATCATGCACTGGGGACAATATCTCTTCCGCGAAGCTATGGAAATGCAAGCGGCAATCATCTTCCTGTTTCTCGGCGGATCCATCCTTCTACACGAGGTCGAGGGTGAGTCACAATCCTAAAATTCCCGCTCGGAATTGGTGCGCGAATGAGTCCGGGATTATCGCTAAGAGTTCTGTAACCTGTCGACACGTGTATAATGTATCACATGCGTCTGACAGATGCTGACAGCTTTAAACAGATATACACAAACGTAGCTAAAGATTACAGAGTTTGTGGGTGCAAATGCAATCTAATATAATGGAGTAAAGAGAATATAAAAGAGAAAATTTAAAGCGAAATTTGCTCGAGATTGTGTTCTTGTTTCTCTTTCAAAGGGCGCCAAAGTAAAGATTGCGCCCTTTTTCAAAATCACAACGAAACAATTCTCGTTGACGTTTTCTGATATAAAAACAATGCAGCTGCTGCAATACAGAAATAAACTGTACCGTGAAATCTACTTAACCCGCCGTTTATAAAAGTTTTATCATCCATAAATAGATGGATGTAAACGGTTATGACGTTGTTCGCGAAGCAGAGCTTTCTTAGTAACTGTTAGTTCATTCCCTGCGACACGGTTTTAGCTTCTGATGGCTGGAAGTTGCCATAATGTGCACATATACAAATACTTTAATATACATATTATGAATATTTGATAATGATGAGGTAACGGAGTCGAAGAGAAAAACGATATTATATCACATAGTTCTATGATTAAGTCTATTATAATCAGTGCTATTATTAATTTACACTAATGTTATATCTACATAAAAGAATAATAAGTTAGTTTCTAAACATCAATCTTCGTGTGTCACTATTATTGACTTATATTTTTTATTTTCCCCTCGACTGTTCGATATAATCGATCATTTTAAATTTAACAAAGTATCAAACTATATATTTCGTTGCTTCTCTTACGTCTTACAAATACAAATAAAAAGTGTTGAAGAAATATAATCAAAAAGTTTGAAAAAGAGTCAACAAAAGTCTTTTTATATGACACAACGATTAAAACTGTTCCCGAAAATGATGTATAAAATTGGGGTAGCAGAAAAATACGACGGGCTAACAAGCAAGCATTGGGATCCTTAATGCCTCCCTCAAGAGTTGCGAGGCTCACGGGAAAAATGCGGGCGGACGAGCTGGGAAAACAATAATGCTCAGCAAGGAGAAATTCAGGGAAGAACACTTTTATATAAATGCAGGTATAATTTCCCCCGCGGTAAAGCAACGCCCGTTGTCCCATCTGCTGCTACGATTCAACGAAACGAGATTTTAATGTTGCACGAATGGCAAACGCTCGCTCGTCTAACTAATATTCTCTTTCTCCCTCTCTCTCTCTTTCTCTTTCTCTGTATGTATGTACTTGCGTGTGCAGCTATGTAACATAAACGTGCACGAGAACGGGGACCTCGCGTGTTCAAGGCCGTGGAATAATAGCCACAGCCCCCGGATATGTGCACGGCTATTGAAAATCAGATGAAAGGGGAAAAAACGAACGTCCCCGGTATTCGTACACGTCTTAAGGGGCTGTAAAAAAAATTCAAGCCACACGCGTTTCCACACTCACACTTACATATGAACATACATACACATATACATACCTGGCTACCCAATACGCGCGCGCGTAATCAAACCTTGCCGTATTGAATGAAAAAAAGATCTATCCCCGATCGCGCTTCAGCCGCGAATATCCCCGATATCGTGAGGCTAGAAAAGCGAAAAATATTTTCGCATCGCAGGATTCCTATGTAAATGTACGTATGTCCCGGTTGTACTGCGCGTAAAGGCAGATTTAGCAGCATGTTTTTCGCAAATATACGAGCCACCCTTCATGCAAACGTGATATCGCTTGCGAGATGTGTTATTTATCCTGCGTATATATTTATTTGAAATCGCATATTTTGTAATATAATATATATGTCATGAAGAAAAATCTCAGAATTGGAATTTAAAAATAGCTATACTCAGCCAGTGCATCGGTGTATTGTGATGACACTCTTTAAATATACTCGTTGAGAATAAATTTACGCTGACCTTATCTACTCTATTATACGATGCATACATAGATGTTATCCTCTTGTGTAAAAAATATATAAATTGCCGAGATTTTTGCCTTCGCTGATATGTATCTTTGCATATAAATGACATCCTGAAAATCACTTAACGGCCATCATACGGTTTTAGTGTTTCCTAACTTTCGCTGCATGAAACAATTTGATACTGTGCGCGCGCAATATATTTTCGTGAATTGCAATCCAGAAAACGCTACACTATATTCAAAATATACATTAATAAAATATACATTAATATTTATTTATTTGAAAATTGAGAATATGCCATAATTCAAGTAACATATAGTAGAATTTATTCGTGAGAAACATTTATAATATAGTAAAAAATATTTAAATAAGTAATTGTTTAATTATTTACACAATAAATCTTTAATATACAAATATTATCTAATAAATAATATATAGTAATAATTAATGCTATATAAAATTGTGCGTAAGTAGCTTAACTTTATCTTTAATATTACACATTTAGCATACTTAGCGGACATTTGAATAAAATTACTTTGCAATGCGATTTATCTTAATACTAAAATAAAATCTTAATTACGTTATACGAGATAATGTGCTATCACTGCACTTGCCCACCGTGTGTGCACAATTACGTCGGAAATACTTCAAATTTTAGTAATCTGGAGGCACGTCACGTGCTTGGCTAAGTCCCAAGCAAGTTCTAAATCCGTATGAACGCTTGCTCGAAAACCAACAAACATACGATAGGCCGCGAAGCGTGCTAATGTGACCAGTGCATGAGGGAGGCAAGTGCAACAGAAGCTTTCTAAAACCGGCGCTGACCGCTCGGAACGCGATATGTTGCACATCCGCATAACGATAATACGCAAATGTATAGAGCAATGCAAATTACGAGAATTATATTGCTTATAGTTTCTTGCGTGGCAAATTAGGAATTAAAATCTGTCAAATCTGACAAAAATATACGGGTATATATATAAAAGAAGAGATTTTAAAGCATTAAAAAATAATTATTTAACTTACCTAATTGCATTTCACTTTTTTTGAGAGAATAATTACAATAAATATAATTTTTGTAAATATAAAAATCTTATTTGAATCTTTGATACTTTAGGATCATTATTTTCAACATTATAATCGTTATAATTCATTTTGAAATAAAAACTTTTTGAAAGAAAAAAAAGAGTTAAAATCTTATCAATTATATTAAAATTATGAAAATGGATTGTTACTTTTATAGAACATATTTGGATGATATATGTATAAATCTAAAACATATCTAATTTAATTGTTTAAAAATTGTGGATATTTTGGATATTTTGTTATGTTGTACAATATAAATATATTTCTATCAAAATTTTTTATTAAACATTTTTTTTTAAATAAAATGTAACAAGATACATCAAAGAGAGATTTTTATAACAGCACTGAAGTAATTTCAAGCATAGATATATACATGCATTACACAGTTGGTAAAAATTATTATTTAAAACTCAACAATTCAATCTCGCTAATATAAATTTATTGTTGCAATATTATTTCCATATTTGCGGTCAATATTTTTCATATATATTTCAACAACACTAAAATATGTAGCTTGTAAAAAAATGTTTTGCCAGCTTACGATAATAAACCTTTCTATAGAGGATGTCATGTATCAATTTTTATTTTTATGAAAACATGTATGATACATATTTATTCTATTTTATTTTTCAATGTGTTCAACGTAAATTTTATTTTACAAATTTTACATATATATATATATATATATATATATATATATATATAAAATTCGTTATATGTATTTTTTCTATTTTTTCTACATTTTTCATATTTTCTATGCATAGAAGTTTTCTGGTATTTTCTAAATGATTATGCTTACACAGTACAGTGTCAAAACTAGCAAACTTAGCGAGTGTAACGGAAATACTTTTGTCAGAATATGCCCTAATTTTCGAATTTGATAAAAATATAACAACAAAAAATGTCAAAAAATATGATCATGTAATTCATTATTTTGCTCGTTAACAAGTGGACGGTAATGAGGAACGTAAAACATTCGTCCAATCTTGAAATATAATTAAAAATTATAAAAGTTAAAATAAAAAACATATGTGCAAACTAGTTAACAATTTCTTAATTCGAATAAAATATAATCATTTTCGAATGATGCGTAAATGTATGAATTAAATTTTTGAATCTAAATAATTAATGTCAAATTAAAGCTTATTTTTCGAAGAAGCATTTCTAGAAAAATGCATACGTAATTAATTAAAAAATGCTTGGAAATTATCATTATATTAATATTAAATTTATTCGATTATGTTTTATATAATTTTAATTTCTATATATTTATAATTGCAGAAACTCAAGAATCATATTCGCAGAAATCATCATTTTCGTGACTATTATAATATCAATACGTAGTATCTCGTAAATATTACTTCGTTTGTTATGCACAATATAATATAAGTAATATATAATATACTGGTGCTTTTGCTAGAAATGGTTTGTCACAAATTTTGTTCCAGACTTTGTTTCGTGGCAATCAAAAGTTCTGTTAACTTGCGCAAAGTTTTATCAATTTACATTCAAAAGGATATTGTCGGGAAAGATATTAATAACAGTCACGCCGTGAAAGGAAGCCTGTATCTTTATACTTATACTGCCTGTATACTTATTTCTCATCGAAACTTTTGCATAAAACTAAGTAGAAATATGAATTCTCTCGGTAACGTCTCTCTATATTTTTTTCGTGAACATTTCTTTAATAAGGTACTTAACAGAAATACTGTTCATCCTTAAAAAAGTAGCGGAGCGATCGAAATAACTACGCGAATCAACGAACCGTGAATAAACGGGGTCTAGAAATAGGAATTCCTGTGTACACACAGTGACAGTGTCCTAAACGTATCGAGTAACATTACAGTCTCATTACAGTCTCAGATGCTTGAGGTTGAGATGCTACAATCTTATTTTTTTTCTTTTCGATAGAAATTCAATCATAATTGAAATTGTTCA